CCTCCCAGCGGGGGGAAGGCGAGGACTCGCCCGCGTCCAAGACGTCTCCCGCCCGGGAGTCCAGGAGCTCCGGCTCGCGGCCTTCTCCTCCGGGGTGGCCGGCGCAAGCGGAGAGCAGGAGGCGATGCAGCAGCCCCTCCCGGGACGAAGCCAAGCTCCGGTTCTCCGGGGGTCTCCGCAAGATCCGGAGCTCCGCGCCCACGACGTCGTCCAGCTCCGCCATCCTGGAGAGATCGAAGAGGTACCGGCGCCCGCCTTCCGAGGGGACATCGTCTGCAGGAGAGAAAAGCAGAAGGGAGCCGGCATCAAGGAAGGAAGGAAGGAAGGAAGGAGTCGTGCGCGCTTCCCTTTGCCTGCCCGGGTGCGCTGCGCCCTCAGATCAGCGGGCGGGCGGCCCGGCATCAGCCGCCTGGGCAGCTGGCACCAGTCCCCTGCCACTTCCAGATGCCCCTGCCCTGGGCACCCTATGAGAAGCTAACAAGTCCGTAAGAGCCGCCCCAAGACGCCCGCCAGGATAAAGGCCAATGTTTCTTGGTCATCAACTAGGAAAGCTCACTCTGAGCGTGCTCAGAGGCACTCTGGTTACGACTCCCGCCTTGCCGGGGCGCGTTACCACTGCGCTCTTTGAGCCTACGCTTGGAACACAACTGGGCAGGGGATTGTGAGAAAGGCTTGCAGATTTATGTTGCGTTGTGAGCCGTCAAATTGCTTGTGACTTACGGCGACCCAAACAGGGCTTCCCAACTAAGTCTATCAGTGGCTGAGCCAGAGGTTGGGAGTTCGAGTCCCCCACTGGGCCTCCTTGACAGGGGCTGGATTCGATGATCCAGAGGGTCCCCCTTCCAGCTCCGCAGTTCAAAGGTTATTATTATTATTGGCTTTACCGGTCCCACCCCTTCCCCCTCGTGAGTATCCACGGCGCAGCAGAAATCCAAACCCAAACCTCCTGAGCCCTAATCAGGCACACTCGTTGCGAGAGATTGGAGCCTCCGGGATCGGGTTTACACGACTTTTGGATCGCTGAAAGAAAATGGGCGTCTTTAGCAAGCGTGGAAGGTGACTGCTAAGGGAAATCCGGCGCCTTGGCGGAGGGTAGAAGCTTAAGAGTCTGCAAACTCTGACTTTTGTTTTTTAAAGAAAAGTTTTGAGGCTACAAAACCCTCCAGATCTTTTGCAACTGGGCAGTGTTTGAAACGGAGCGGCCTGGGGCTTTCTCTCCCGCTCGGCTGCCTTGTCTCACGGAGAGACAACAGAGGAGCAGTGGCTATCTGTATTTATTTCTTAGCCCTTCAATGGAGCAGGTTCTGGAAGGACTGTTCCGTGTCTCTCTTTCCCGCCCCCCCCTCGCCCCTGGGAAAGGCTCCATCCTCCGAGCCAAGCTAAACATTTCCCCAATCTTGTCAAAGGAGCATTTCCTTCACGGGTGGGTCCATCTCTACTCCTGGGGAGCGAAGAGGGGAGAAAAACATAGAAGGAAGTCCAGATTCTTTTGAGAGTTATTGTCACACACAAACATGAAGAACACACACACACACCCCTCCCAGTCCATTTACGTCCCAAGCCAGACGTGAACTTTTGCTTAATTCTCTTTCCTTAAACCAATCAGATGTGACAATAAATAAACACAGTTAAGACAAGATAAATGCAGGCGGGGAGAAGACAAGAGTAAGAGAAAGAAGGAGAAAGCGCTGCCTCTAGTAAGATCCAGATGCGCACGCAGGGTTTCCTAAACTGAGGAATACAGTGGCCGTTCCCCGCCCGGCGCCTAAAAACACCCACAAACACGTGGTAAATCCGGTCATCTCGAAGCAAAGAAGGTGAGGGCCCCTTGCAAACAATTTCAGGGCCAGCATTTGAGAACTCCGCTGCATCCGCAGCCCCTCCAGTCCAGGGTGCTGCGAGCCACAGGCCGGGGAGAAGAAGTTCGCCAGCGGGACATGCCTGCCACCCCCACCCTCCCTCTTGCTGTCTCCCAGCAACCTGGACTAAGTTTGGGAAGGAGGAGGTAGCCCAGATGACTGCCTGGTAGCCACCGATGGCCCACATTTTGGGTGAAGGTGGGGGGGGAGGTGGCGCAGCCGCTTTTCTGTGGCGGCCAACGGCAAAGAGTCTTGGTGATACCTTGAAACTCACTTCTTGATGTATTAACGTTTCGGGGCTTTCTGAGCCATCGATGAAAACAAGAGGACTGAGCGAGTGAGGCGGGGGGGAGGAGGGACCCGTCGGAGGCCCATGACCTTGACTTAGGACCCCCCCCCACCTCCACCCCCACCCCGCTTTCTACCCTCGCAGAAAGAGGCTGAATGGTTGTGCCCCGGCTCTCCCGGATCCCCTGTTCCGGCCGGCCGGCCGCAAAGGACACGCACCGCCGGACGCCGGGAAGGCTTGTCTCCTGCTCTCTCCCCGATCCGATCTAGGTAGACGTCCGGAGAGAAACAGATCTGGAGAGGCGGCGGCGGGCGGGGGGGAAGAGGGCAGGCCGGGTAGCAACGGGGGTCGAACTCAGCTGGTTCGAGTTTGCTCAGAAATTCCCACAGACCCTACCTAGACCGGGCCGGCTGGGGCACCGACGTCTCTCGGGGATCCCATCGCCTTTCGTCGGGGCAGCAGCGTCCGCGAACGCAGAAAAAAACAGACCAGGCCGGATGCGGCTCCCGGCACAAGGCTGTGAGCAGGGCTTTCTGACTTACAACACCACAGGGGACTGAACTGCAGCTGGTATAGGATCGGGGCCCAGACAAAAAGCAGAAGCCCCCCCCCCAGTGTGTGTGTGTGTCTGTGTGTGTGTCTGTGTGTGTGTGTGGACATCCACACGCCAGAGTTTTATATATATAAAGTACGAGACTATGGCAAAGACGAGGCCGAGAGCATTTCTCATTGTTGTATGTATACACAACAATGAGAAATGCTCTCGGCCTCGTCTTTGCCAAAGTCACGGACTTACAAGCGGTCTCAGGAGCGGAGACTACCAACCCCCTAGGCGGCCCTACAAACACATCCAGACCGTGGGGTTGATGTTCCAGCGGAAAGGGCAGAGAGGAGAAAACCCGTTCTTAGGATAGTAACTAAAGGAGGATCGCTCGCCACGCAGAGCGCTTGCCAGGCCGGCAGGTTTTAGCGTTTTAAGTTAATTTTTTTAAAAAATCAAGCGATTTTTAAAAGCGCCCTCCGTCTCATTAATTTGGCCGAACATTCGTCCAATGGTTGTGGCGGGCGCCACCCGCCGGGGGGGGGGGGGGGGGACGACGACTGTTCTCCGCCTCGCCTCTTCCGCCCGGGAGGGGACACCTTTCCTCAGGTGTGCCTGCCCTGGAAGGTCTTGCCTGCGCACCGTCTAGACACAAAGGTGTGTTCTGCTGTTCCTCTTCTGCTTTATCCGCGTGTGCCCGTTTTGACTCATTTAAGGACAAAGCGAACGATTCATCAACAGTACCTCAGAAGTTCAAGGAGACTTCCTCCGAGGCGTGTGTAGCCGAAAACTCAGCGGGTTAAAATGCCACTGATTTCCCCACCCCTTCCCGCCCCTTGAACCTTCATTTTCTTTCCCTTGAAGATGAACAGGCACAATTCAACTTCATACTCTTGGCCTCAGAGACTTTCCTCTGGATGAGCTTCAAGGGAAAGGTTTCATCCCTCACCCTGCGTGGGGACCAGCCTTTGCGTTCTTTCTCGTGGATGTATTCGTCGTCTTTCCCGGCATATCCACAAATATATTCTCAGGTGATTCCTAGCATTACTTCCAGTTTTGTTCCGCTGCGATAGCCTCACGATAGCCTCATCAAGGTAGCACACGGATTTCAGCAAGAGTGGCGGTAATGATGATTCGCCCTCCACGTTTCATTCATAATTGCGCCTCTACTCCGGGATATCCAGCTTCTCCAGAAGCGATGAGCGCCTTTTTACTTTTTTGGTAGAAAGAAAATGGGGGGGGGGGACCTCGGGCATCTCAGCCACGCCAAGCGTATATTTCAGTGGAATTTTCTGTAAGGAAACGTTCCTGGGGAACCCTCCAGTGGATGATCTGCTGGTCCCTTGCCAGCCCCATCCATTTGGGCAACTGGGATAGGAATTTCAGGGTTGCGCTACTCCAGTCATCCCGCGCCTACGTGCCCCTATTTTACACTGAAGGGACGGAGGGAGACGGCCCCCTTCCTGCACTTCGGACTTGGCAGCTCAGGACCTCCTCTCCACCCACCCACCCACCTCTCCGATCGTCTTCAT